CTCCTGGATCATTTATGAGGAGAATGACAGGCATGCAGCATGTGCTCCAAATGTGAGTGAGTGTGTGTTCCACGGGCAGATCACCAATGCAAACAGCCACGTCTTTGCCATTAGTTCAGCTATGACTGACGGGCAAAGGAGGGCAGACAGTTGAGCTTGGGGCTTTTCACAGAGTTGGATCGGTGGGAGCGTTTTGCTGTCAGCAGCAAAAGAGCAGAACTCAACTTCTGACACACGTTTGAGGGGATTTTGAAACCGAGTTAACTTGAACACTACCACGCTCTTGTGGCTGCAGCTGAAATGCAATGTTTAGTACTTCTGTTGTTCAATTGAACTGTCAGAGTTAAAGGTACACTGTAGTTTTGTGTGTCAAGCGGGCACCCTTTATATGTGTTTTCTAAGCACTGCAGGGCTGGTTTTCCCATTTCCCAGAGTCTTGAAGGAGGTGGAGGGCAGGGAATGTGAGAAAGTTGCAAATGGGCACACACCGCTACAGCAAAACCCAAGTGGTATATACAAAGTGTCATGAGCTCAAAAAATACCACATGGACTAACCTTAAGTTGCTGCTGGAGTTCGCTATTAAGGCGTGTCAGCACAGCATTGGTTTCCCTGTTCTTACGGATAGCCTGCTGGATCTCCCTCTTCTGTCTGGGCAGCAGTCTGAAAGAATTTCATACAGTTTTTATTTGCTATTAAATAGAATTTTAAGGTGAATAAAACAGCATGGCATGGCTATAACAATCTCCAGTTCTTCCAGCTTATCAGAGGTTTGAACTTTGCACGTCAGAAGAATAAGACCAGTTGCAGGGGTCGCTGCAACTAGGAGGCCTCCACTGTTATTGATGATCACCGTGTATCGCACTGACAGTTTCAATGAGCAGTCTGGTCAATAAGGAGACAGAAGCACACATGGTAGAGTCATTATAGTGAGTTAGTGTGTGCCTTAATGTCTGGTGAATTCCCCTCTTTGGGTGGGTTTCGTGGGTTTTACGATCACTTAAGAGCATGTAGGTACTTTTAAGAAGCTCTTTGACCTGCATTAACTCATTTTCCTGGCCACTTGAGGTAGCGCAACAAGCTGTAAACATTGGTATATTTTACTCATAAAGTTTACAAGAACTTTGCATGCAGTGACCTTTAAAGCTTGAAACAAAAACTGCAGTTTTTCCAATTTGAGGCTCCAAAAGTCAGTCACCTGACAGTCAAGTTGTGTGTTACAATGCTCAGAAATGAACATGTTTAGAGTCTGACAGAAAAAGGGTTTTTTGGTTCGATTGTTTTTATAATTTACCTGTTTTGCTTCTGGTAGGACTTGAAGTTATTAGCTGCTGCTTTGACACCTTTCAGTCCTTTGCTAGGCCTCACTTGATCTAATTTGAGCCACTGAGCTGGATCTCTCCACTATGTGTTTGTTGTGCGAGTGTCTTCTGAAGGTTTTTTTTAATGGTTTAATGAATAAAGGTTAAAACCTGTTGGTCATTAAATGCAATGCTGGTTTACGGCATTTCCACGTTGGCTTCACATTTTAAGACCTAGAAGCATCAACGGTCACTGCTGGCTTAAAAAAAATGATTAAGTTGAGGCTTCAAAATACAGAATCCAAAATTAATGAGTGACAGTGGCCAAGTCCATATTTGACATGCAGTCTGTAGGCTAACACATTTAAGAAAACTTCACAGTATTCTGTCAGTTTATCACTGCAACCAGCGATTTATGTAGTTATTCTCTTATATAAAGCAGTGACTACACCTAATTTAACATAGGTTAGTGTTCCTGGCTACATTTTAACCACTGCTAAAAGTGGTGGTTATTTTTAGCCAAAGTGATCAGTGTCACAAGTTAAATGTTTGACTAACTTTTGAGGAGTTTTAGCAGGAGGAGGAAATGGCACCGCTGGCGGAGGTACAGTCTCCAGGTTTTGGCTCTCTGGGAGATATTTCCTGCGAACTGGCTTCTGTGGAGGTTGATTGTGAGAGGCGGCAGTCATGTCCTGAAACCATAACAGATGAAAAGATAGAATTATTGTAAGAAAGACACTGACTGTTACACAAGAGGAGTGGCTCAGTGAGCAGTCCTGACCTGTTGTGAAGGATTCGTCATGTCCTCAGTGCTGAGCCCAAATCTGGAGTGTGGCCCCTGATCTTCAGGTTTCACACTGCTCTCCTCCTAAAGGCAATAAACCGAAAAACTTGGCTTGGACATTTGTCATGTAAGATAGATGATAAAACATCTATTCCTCCACGGAGAAAAGAGTGTTGATGCCATGATGAGGTGAATTAAATTGAAAGAGGAGCTATAAAGAGGCAGAAAGAAATGTGTTGGCCCTGACCGTGTATAAATCAGCACCTTCCCTGCAGGGACTGTGATGTAGGGCTCTCCAGACACGGCCTGCTCAGGGGCAGCCATGATGGATTACTTTGCTTTTATTGCATCGCCTTGCTGCCTTATTCCTTTGTTTTAAGATGTTTAATGTGTCACCACATGCTTTTTAGGGCAAAAGTGTGAGGACAGGCCCTAGTTTTGTGAAAGTTGAAGGCATTTCTTACAGCCTTTCCCATCTGTTAATGTTGGATTTAGTGAATTTGATCCGCTAATTTGTCCGGGCTGCAGTCTTCACTGTGGCGGCAGTGGGCTTTCGTGATGCTTTAAGCAGGCTCCTGTTGTAAATTGTACCCAAGAAACCTAAAAATGCAGTTTGTTCAGAAACACCAACTGACTTTCAAATAAATGGCCCTGAGATTCACTGCTCCATTGGACGCAAAACACAGCCACAGCATGGAAACATACAGACGCTGTAGTAGTTGCTACAGCGGCAAAACCCCCACAGCAGAACCATAAGCAGAGTGTGTGGTCAAATCAGCTGCAAAGGCTGGTATTAAAGAAGTGCCATCACTGTCATTTTCTAGAGCGTGCATTTTTAAAACTTTCCTCATTCAACTGGAATATTTAAGAGCAATGAGACAAAGGAAGCTTACTCAAACGAGAGGAAACAAAGCACAAACTGGACACAACAAATCAAAAATAGACAACTTTAACCTTGTCCAACTCTCTGTCTGAATGTATCAATGCATGCAATGGATCAGCTGGACTCTCGCCACTCCTGGAAGAGACCAGTGGACTTTGGTAAGCACCAGGGGCGTAATTTCCAGGGGGTTAGGGGGGGTTATGACCCCCCTAATAATCAGACCCAACCAATATAACCCCCCCCCCTTCCATAATATAAAATTATTTAGTCATTTCAGTTATTACCAGCAAAATAGTTGCATGATTAATCATTTAGAAATGTACTCAGATTTTTGCATTTATTTAGACACAGATCTTGACACCCCCCCCCCAATGTTTAGCACAAAGCTGCACCGATGGTAAGCACGGATAATAAGTGAGCTAACAGATACGTTAATATGTTTTACTGTGGCAATAACATAGACTGTACCTAAAAGATGGACATGGTTACAGTGCTGCCACCTACTGGTTTGTTAACTACAAATCTCTCACTCACAAACTTTGTGGCTCAGTCACAAAGCAGGCCCACCCTAAAAATAAACCCCGATTTGGTCTCCTCATTTGCTCTGACCACAAATTTCATGTCAAAGCTTTTACTGACCTCACAGATCAAGTTTACCATTAGGGTAATTTCTCCCAGGCTTTCAGAAAATAACAAAATAACAATATCAGTACTTCAACAAGCTTCATCCCTCCCTCTAGTTTTCTCTTAAATGCAGTGCATGATGCTTTAATAGTGACCACCTGTTTTTCACCACATTTAGGGCTACTTTGACTTCAGCGCATCAGGTATAGTAATACTCACTACAGAATATAGCCTGTAATACAGTAAGTAATGAGTGATTTCAGACATAGCCATGTACTTAAACTGCTCCCATGAGTTCCCCACAAAAGCAGGTGTCAAAATATTCACACTTAACTCAAGATTGACATGTTTTATGTAAAAGGAAGTTATTTTTAAGGACGCTTATACTTCACTGATTTACAATGCCTCTCTGAGGAGCTTGGGCTGGTGTGGATTTCTATTTGCCTTACTAAGTGAGAAATGTACATCTTATAGCTACCTTTGGGATGATCTAGTGCAGCTGGTTTTAATTAAGTAAAACACCATGTGGGGAGACAGAGAGATGGCCGTGCTCTAACGTGATGGGGAGGAGAAGAAAGAGTAATGGATCCAAGGTCAGAGTGAGGGTAATGAAAGGGCACCTTAAAGATAAGTGATGACAAAGACAGAAGTTAGAACTGAGTGATTTACAGCAGTGGTCTCCAACTGTTTTTGCGCCACGGACTAGTCTATGTCTGACAATTTTCATGGACCGGCCTTTGATGTATTTATCCGCAACACCTTAAAGTAAAACCAGTACTGGTACAAAAAAAGAAGATTTATTCATAACACACAGGAAAGGACCAAGGGAAAGCGAGTTAACAATAAAAACAATTTAAAAAAAATAACGATAAAAACCAATAAAAACCCTGAAAATGATAAATTTCACACTCGAGCCTCAACTCTCACGGCCCTGTACCAAACAACCCGGTACCGGTCCGTGGCCCGGGGATTGGGGACCGCTGATTTACAGCATTCAAAAACTAGAAAAACCCCCACATCCACACCAAAACGTGGGCAGATGCTGGGCCAATAACAAATCTAATCTATGCACATTGTGAACCTTCAGTTTCACATTTTTAGCACGTCACAAAAACTGACACTTCAAGCACATCTTGTCTAATGAAGAGTATGATTTAGAACACACAACACCTGATGCGAGGGGCAGTACTGAAGCAGGAGCTCCTTTGCCTTTTGACCTTAAAACTACATATGATTTTTGTAATGAAAGCCAGAGGTTTGGACGCCATAAAGACAGAAAAAGCTGCCAAAATCGCTTCACTCCCACAAGAAAAACAAATACTGAACATAGCTGCGCAAATACAATAACCTTTGAGAAAGGAATGGGGATTTTTTTTTCCACCTGCAGTTCCAGGAAATGTAGTGCAGTAAAATACAGTACTTTTCCATGTGCACACAGCGTTGATTATGGCTGTGGGGTGTGCGGCTCATTTAAACAAACACGCACATTGATAAAAGTACCAAATGCACCACAGTAATTAGCGTTTGTGTTACTTATCATACGGCAGTAGTGAAGTTTATAAAGCGATTCATTAGAAAGCAACCACAAAATCAGCTCAGTTTTACAAGCAGCATATGTGCTGAAGGACACGGAGGATTCTGAAGTGAGGATACTTCCTAATATGGTGCTTACCCGTGATTTTTAGATTAGGCTTCCTACTGAAGGAAGAGGAAATGTCTAAGTTGTCAGAATATGCAGAAGTACAAAAATGACACAAAGAGAAAAAGGAAGTGCTCTTCCTGAGAGGATGCAGGAGTATTTCAAAATAAAGTAAATGATGAGCAGAACCATCAGTTTAATTTATTACAAACCTTTCAGCATTTTCACAGGTCCTTAAAGCCAACTATCATTAAAAACATACTGAAAGGAACGACTCGTGTATTGCATTCAATTCAGTCTGAATGTAACTTGCTTTAAGAAACTGAGTAGCACCACTGGAAACTCTTTGAGTAGTACTGCCTTCTCAGGAAGGATTTTTAACAAATACACAATTTAGGCCTTAAAAAGCCATCTAATTTGCATAGACTTTCATGTACACTTCTGTCAACCTTTTCATTTATTTGTGTCTCGTAATAGAAACTCGTACTTTTCCCAAGCACGTCTTTGACGACACTTTTATATATCTGCGATGGAAAGTTGTGAAGTGGAAAATGCTGACATTTCTTTTTGTGACTGCAATTTGTGTTGCTGTTTGCTACATTTGCAAATTCCCACTGAAACAAAGGCAGAGGTTCAGGTTTAATGCTCACCTCTTCTCTGAAGTGACTGAAGTCAGCAAAGTTTGGCTGCTGCACTTTACTCTGGACAGTTTTCTCCGAAGTGCCGATAAAATGAGAAACCTGACAGGAAAGAAGATTTCTGTCACTTTTAGTCTGAGAAAAAATGATGCTGTTGTATTGCTTTGCTCACTAGCATGCAGTACTACCGTCAAAATCTTAATCAAACAGGAATTACCTGCGAAGCTGTCGGTCTAGGAGGGAGGGCTGGAGGAGGCAGCAACCATCCACTTTTTACTCCTGGAATCCCAAGTGAAAAGCTTACATTGCAATGATGTCATACCCCTGCTTTGCTCTCAGGATACAGATTTCCCTCCTTAAACTCAAATATACCATGCACATTTATAACCACAAACTGAATGGCTCTCTTGTGAGTCTCTCACCTTTCAGACTGAATACTAAAAACCACGCATCTCCATTTCTGCTTTTGTTGCCCGTAAAAGGAGAACTGCCATAAACGACTCATAATAACTCAGTTGCAAAAAGCACTGCTGCTCCCAGCTGTTTGTGCTTCTCACCTTCCGTATTGCAGAGATAATATGATGGGAGGAGCAGGTCATACCTGGAGCGCCCTGCTGGAAGAGCTTATTGAGGTCCAGCGATGAGGCCCTGGAGTGGGTCTTCTGGGGTCGAGGGGGAGGGGTGGGTGGCTCCTCGGCCTTCTTCATAGCGTCTTCGATTGAAGTGCTGGAGTAGGACCTGGAGGTCACACGGATGAGAAAATGTAATAATGGTTAATGAGCAGCTCAAGTTTAATCATTTTAGTTGGAGTGGGTTCATTGTCACCTTGGTCTAGTTTTTGTCTTCATCTGTGGATCCAGATCTTGAGGCGGTTCTGTAAGAAAGATGAATACTAATAAGTGTGCTCATTTTCAATCAATCATCTGTAGGCAGATAATAACCACCAGGGTTACTTTTTATTTTTATCTTTCACCAAGAATATATCTTACATCTAGCCAGGAGAGAGTCGTGCGCTTAGAAAACGCAACCAAATCACAACAAACAAGCATTTTCACCGAAGCAGACAAAAGAGGAAAGATCCCCAACTCAGAGAAAGTACTGAGGTATTTGTGGCACCCCACCAACTCGAGCTCATCTGAAACTTGCAACACATGATGTACTTTTACACAGGAACAGAGAAATCTCCCCCATGCTAAGGGAAGGGTTAGTTTCACCTGGCCGCTCAGGAAAAGCACCGAGCTGAAGAGTTTCTTTGTCTTGAGATGTCGCGAGCATCTTCACATCTGTAGACAGAGTAAAAAAGAAAGATCAGAAATGACGATGCAACAAAAAAAAAGTTTTTTTTCCTCCCGTATTTAAAAACTCTGATAAGCAATAAAGACATTTTGCCTTAACTCTGCTTAGACTAATAATGTCTTCATACACACTTGGCCCCCAAGGGCCCACTCTGAAACACCCGTCCATCAAGAGCATATCAGAGCAGCATTTACTCACTACTTAAGAAATTATGGTTCACCGAATAGATTCGCTTTATTTCAGTATCGCATAAACTGAGATCTTTTTTTGGACTAAGAAATAACATATGTTAGCATTCTCTCTCTGCTTTGTTTACTCTTAGAGGATGAGTGGGATAACAGACATGTATTGTCCTTTTGTTTGTTAGTGTAAGGAAATTACCATACTTACTGTATGGTGGATTTATTTCTGTGCACATGGCTTGGAGAGAAGAAGTACTGAAAGAGCACCATGGGATTTTTTGAGAACCATTATCCCAGTTACTATAGTGTTATACCTTTGGGAGAGTACCCAGTTCAAAGTGAATCTGTTTTACATGTGATTTTAATAAGCATAACTTTTTTACATTTGTTACTCAGAAAAAAACAAACAAACTAACTGCTTTATAATTACCTTGTTTACTGGATTCTTCTTTCAAGTCTTGTTTTGTTGAGATCAAGCTTGGCTGGAGTCTCTGCATAATGCTTGGATCCTAAAAAAAACACAGCGCAAAGAAAATCAGGACCTGCAAAGACTGAAATAGTTTCATTTAGTTTCAGTGTGCATTTCAGGAAGTAAAAGATGCTCTAAGCTCAACCTGTTGCCTGGTATGCAATGTACTTGAACCTAGTTGTTCTGTCTCGTGTTCAGCTTGCTAGTGCCCCCTACAGGCAACAGGATGAAACTACAAATAAACATTTTAAACAAACCACTGACGCTTTGTTTTACCATCTGATTCGGCCTCCGTCCAGGATCCTCAAAGACAATTAAAGGCCCTGCACTCTGTTGAGAAAGCACGGTATAAAGAGCCTAAGTCTGAATAAATTCATAACCCAAAAAATTAATTTTTGCTACTTGTGTCCGTCGTACTTCATGAGTGTCCGGTATGTCCTCTTCATGCTGCATGAACCCCGGCCGCAGGCTGGGAGGCAGCGTCTCTGGCAGAGGGTAACCATTCTTTCGGGCCACAATCAAGTGGAATGCTGTGCAAAACTCAGAAAACGTGAGAGCCCCATCTCTATCCACATCACTCAGCTCCCTTTAAAAGAGATGACACACAAAGAATATATGCAAAACCTGAGAATGGAGCTGTGAAACAATAATAACACATAAAGCTGCATGAAACTATTCTGTTAACACTTTGCATTTAAGTTTCGTGGAAAGCACTTGATAATCTGTTCAAAATTCTTGGAAAATATAGCTTTCTTTGAAACTGAATCTTTATTTAAAAACAGATAAAGATTAATTTAGTAGCAGGCATGCAGCGCACGGACCACAAAGACTACTTAAACCAGTAATATGTTAGAATCAGTTGAGCAGAAGTATATAAATTACAGTCTCCAGTTTCATAAATTTCCAGGAAACTATTATAATTACAGGGACATTAATCTGAAATTATACACCAGTAAAATGAAGTGTTGCCACAATGTTTATTTGGCCTTTTAAACATGATACTGCATTAGCGGTTAGCAGGCATTCTGTATAGATTTTGTCTTATTCAAAATTTATTACAAGTGAAAGCTAAGCCATGGCATACTGTATAATAACATAAACTGTGAAGATATAAGCAAATACTCTTCTGTCAACATTACAGAAAGAGTTTGACACTGACGCCAACCTCTGCTGGCAGGCAGTTAGCAAAGCTTGAGAGTTATTCTGATAGCCTGCTTCTAGCATTATAAGCTAAAGCTAAGCTAACTTGCTGCTAGCTATATCGTCATATTTTTCTTTCTTAATGTTACTGAGTTAACTAACAAAAGCATAACAGTAACTCAGCAAAAAAGGGGAAAAAAATCCCCAAATATCCAACTTTTAAAAATGGAGTAATAGCCTCATGTTCAAGGTTTTCTTACTCAGTCACAGACTAGTTACGTAAATAAGCTAATTAGACATTTATGTTTGCTGATCTCTGTTTCACCCCAGCAGCCAAGATAAGGTAACTTAGCGTGTTGACTAGAAATACTGTAGATTGTATATACTTGTATTAATTTATTATTATTAAATTGACATAAACTACGATACCATGAGTAAATATTTTGGTGCCAATAATATAATTTGACCACCAACTGCTGTTATATGGCATTTTATGTTAATGTTTATCTGCTTACAGCTTCATTCTTCCCATCTAGCAGTGAGTAGAATTACATGAAGGTAAATAATCATAGTTCCAAGGATATAAGATAAATTTTGAGACTGCCTAAACTGAGCCTTACTCAATTTAACGAGCCATTAAGAAGACTACTGTCTTCACCAGTGGGTTATAGTTTGATGTCCATAAGCTGGAGCTTCATTTTTTTAATCTAACTGTGCCAAAAAAAAAGAAAAACAATACTTTTAAAAAAATTGTAATTTCAAATAAGAGGAAATTAAACCAGTTTTCCAGTTCAAACGAATGTAATCTCATCTTCCCCCTTTATTTCATTAAATAAAGAGTTAAAGAATGTTCCTGAGGCGAAACCTTTTCCCTTTGAGGAGGAGAAGTGTAGCACTGGTCTGCACTTTAAAGGCCTCTGTCTGCCTCAGAGGGCATGCTGAGGCTCTTGGCTGAAAAACACCAAACTGACCCCAGAGCAGAACAAGGACACAGACAACACCATCATGAGTCAGCAGCACTTACCAAATGTGGGACAGCTCTGGAATTGGGAGCTTGGATTTTGTGAAGAAATTTTTTGCTACAGCTCCTTGAAATAACAAAGTGCAAAAAACAGTGGAATACTTTTATAGCAAGATGTTGTTGTTTTAAAAAAAAATAAAATCTTTAGATGAATGCATTTGAGGTGCAGGTGGGGTGTCCATACCCAGGATGAGAGCCCCCAGGTCAGGCTGCAGGCTCTTGAATTGATTAGTGTAATACTCCAGCTGTTCTTCTGTGATCCTCCAGGGGTCATCCTCAGTATAATCTGAAACACCCTGCTGCTCGAGCCTTTCTACTGAGGAAGCCTGAGCACATACAGAAAATCAAAGTGGCATAATACAGACTTAATAAAACATATTTGTAAATCTTTAAAGAGAAAAACACCAGTACCTGAGCCATAGCTGGATGCTCCACAGTGGGTTTGGTTCCGTATTTGCTTGGTGAGGAGTGCTGCTCCAGCTGAACGATCGGCCGCGAGGAATGTTTGCTTTCATAGGCTGAAGGATAGAAGAGAAAAACACAGCTTTGACGGAGGAGAAATCTGAGACTGACATGCAATGATTTCCTGCTGATTACACTCCTGGAAAATGTGATCTGAGAGAATGAAAGATTTACAGATCAAAAGGAACCGTGAGAAGAAAGAAACCGAAGGTTTCGAGGAATGAACAGGTGTCAGAAACTCAGGAAAACCTTATCGTTTTCATTTCTCAGTCCGACTTATATGTTAATTACAAATGTACAAGCAAGCTCCAAACATGCTAAATCAGACAGTTTATGGCACGTGAAGAATCTGGAGAACTCTACAACTGCACAGATGGTGGTAGAACTTAACTTAAAAGGGAAAAAAGGGTTTTTAAAATTCTGATTTCCAGCTTTAATAGGAGTGAAAAGGATCTCACCGATTTGCGGGTCAACTCCATTTCTCTGCTTGGCGTATGGGTAACTGCGATATGTCAATGGCGAGCGAGGGGGTGAGCTACACGGGGATCGTGGTGGCGACCAAGGTTCCTTTAAATACAGGGACAGTATAAATGAGGGGTGGGTAATCAATTTTCCAAAGAGCCCACATGAGAAACAGATACTGTTGCAGACAGGACAAACAAGTAACCTGAACTTAGTTGTGATCAATATTAATTTTATCTCTCTCAAACCGTGGAGGAAGTATTTGTTATTCACACAAACAAACCAGCATGTAGCACGTGAACATTTCTCTAGGTGACTCAACTGTGCTTTATACAGCCTAAGATTCTGCCTTCCTAAGTGGCCGATGCTGTCGCTAGTATTTATATTTGTCCACAGTGTGCTCTGCAATTTTGGCGCCCCAAAAAATTGGTTGATGGTGGAGTTTCTCCTGGGTAGGAGGGAAGAACGGTACCATTACAGCCATTTTGGGCTGCGTCAACATGTTGTCAACAATAAGTTATAGCAGATTTGCAGTTATGACGTACCTACAGCATAGATTTAATGCAGAGGTCTAAATCAAAAACTGCTTACACAGACCATAAGATGTGTGGCATCAGTAAGAAGAACAGGGACACCATGAATCACTGATAAGTCTTAATCCAGATGTCAGTTTTAGGCTGTTATATTTCTTCAAACCATTTTTTAAAATATGCAACTTGTGCTGTAGCAGAATGAAAAGATATAAGTAAAAATATTATGTTCGCAAATCCCATGGCTAACTAAAGGAGCTTTCTTACACATAACTACATAAGCTAGCAGCTAAGTTGTTATCGCCTACCGTCACAACACTTAGTTCACCCTCCAGTCGGCTAGTTTTTCAGAGTATGACATGTTTGCATTCCATCTTTGTAGTCCACCAGAGCACCAATGATAATAAAGTTCTTTATAGAATTTCCACCTTCTACACTGCTGGGTTCATAGGGGGCCCTTGCAAGGTCGTCTAGAACAACGGTCCCCAACCTTTTTTGCGCCACGAACCGGTTTAGCGTCAGACAATATTTTCACGGACCGGCCTTTAAGGTGTTGCGGATAAATACAACAAAATAAAATTATACAACCAAGACAAAAACTTTGGTATTTTTGTAAATAATAATAAATGCAAATTCACTGTGTAATTGAGTAACTTTATTAGCAGCGTCCTCCTGAAATGTGCCAACAACATTGACAGTAACATCCTTCTTTCTGCTCCTTAAAGCTCTCTGGTCGCTATGGTAACACGTACATATTTCTTTCAAAATAAGACACACAACTACAACATGGGAAAAGACCCAGGGAAACTGAGGTAACGACAAGAACCCTGAAAACCATAAATTTCACACCCGAGCCTCATCTCTCGCGGCCCGGTACCAAATAACTCACGGACCGGTGGACTGGGGTTTGGGAACCGCAGGTCTAGAATAAATGGGGCTATATGCACATTTTGTGGGCTAAACATTTTCATCACCTGTAAATTATGATCAAGACAATAGTTGAAGTTGAAATTGAAGGTTTTTTTGTGTTTTTATTAGTGCTGTCAGCGTTAATCTCTTTAAAATGATGTTAAAGCCATAACCGCATTAACGCTGCAAATCTCCGTTAGCAAGTTAGCGCAGATCGCCCCATGCATGGGGCTGCACGGCGTCAACGTGTTAGCGCGGTTAGCTCGTTAACGCATTAGCACCGTCCAGCCCCGTGCACAGGGCGATCCACGCCACGGAGATTTGCGGCATTAATGCGGTTATGGCTTTAATGTTTAACGTTTTATTATTTAATAGGCCTGGTTTTATTAGGCCTATTACGCTTTAACGAGATTAATGCTGACAGCACTAATTTTTATAGGTTGTGATTGTAATATTGGTATTATTGTATTGTATTATACAATATGTATTATACTGTACTATGTATAGTATTGGGGACATGACAGTATCACAAGGTATTTTATGGAACCCCATATTTTTATTTTACTCATGAAATGAATAGTTAAACTAACCACCAACCATATGCACCTAAAGTTTATCTATCATCTGCCATTAAGCAGGAACATTATATTATGAAGCCTTAACCAACCAAATAACATGCGCTAGTAATTTTATTTCAATTTGTTCTCGTTATCCATCCTATATTTGAAAAATATAAATACAATGTTGGCTTTTGTCTTTAAAAACTAAGTTAATACATATTTTTGCAATTTAGCTCCATTCACTTCTTCTCAGTTATGACTGTTCTGCAAGCACCCGTTGCTGAAATGCAAAAAAACACAACAAATCCATGACACTGATGCAAAAGTTTGACCCTGCTGGCATAACTAAGTTATTGCAATTTGTGGTCAGGGAGGTCTCCGGTCATCCAGTTCTAGTAATTCTGATTAAGGACAAACTGGAATGACTGAAAGAGGCTTGTCATTCTTCTCTAATCTCTCATCAACTGCTCCGATGATTAGAGCTGACTGGAATGTATTTGCATACTTCTTGGCCATACTGCATAGCTGCACTAAGCTATAATAACTTTGACGCATGCATACAGGCCAAAAGTAGCAGATGGCAGCGCACACGGGCTTACCTTCTTGTCTGTGCTGGCCTCCAGATGTCTGAAGGTGTTCCTGTCTGCTGGAGTCCAGATAAGAGATCCGGGTGCAGAGCCACACTGTGCGCCCTGAGCGTCTATGCAGGAAGGGACAGTCGAGTATCGCATCTCTGGTTCATTCTTCAAACCAACAAATCTAGGTAGAGGTAGATCTGGAGCGACAGCACAAAAATCATTGATAGAAATTATATGTTATTTATTTTGACACCAACTCAAATGCTTAAGTGGATATACAGTATAAGTGTTTTTAAATTTGTCTCATGATTTAGGCCTAGCACAATGACCTTTGATACAACTAGAATTAGTACAAGGGAATTAATCAGGATAAACTTCTTTACAGGCTTTATTCTGCTGAGGAGAGCTACTACTACATACAAAAATGAATATGAACCGATAAACATATTCCTTCTAATAATCCATGAAGCTATGTGATTTTATGAAGAAGAAAAAAAAACACACACATTAGGGTTTCCTATTTGGGCAGGGTGTAAATGATTGTGTGCTCCTTGTAATAAGGGCAAACCCACTTAGCCCTTTCCATGCGACTCCCCTTTCAGCCAGATTAGGCTAAATCCTGCCATGTTAAGATAATCTCCTGATCCCCTTTTCCTCTCATAAGACGCCTCCTCTCTGAGCAGCAGACTTACTGGCGGTTACGCTCTCCAGGCGGATGGGTAGACCAGACTGGGCAGCTGCGAGCAGCTTCAGAGCCACGTAGAACTGAGATGTACCAAAGTAACCCAGACGCTTTGCTCCACACACCTCGGTCACCTGAAAAAGATGGCAAGTTTAAAAAAGACTTTTGCATTGTGAACAACTGAAACCAGCTGAAACATGCTACGACCAATGCCCTGAATTTGTGACACAGTTATCTATCTCCAACAATGTCATACATCTCAGCTTTCATGCTGCCTGCAGTGACAGAAATATAATCTAGCCAGGGCTAGCTTAAGCATGTGGTTATTTTACACCCTGATCAAGATCATGTATAGTAGAAAATTATGGGTAAATAGAATAAAACTAGAAGAAAAGTATGCGAGAGATCAGCACGGTGTAATCTGTTTGTCTTTTTCTCTTTTGTTTCAAGGTACAATGCTTCCTGGGAAGCACAGCGGATTAGGATTATCTGGAATAATAAAGAAAAAAAAGATAAACTATAATTGAAAGAAAATGTCTGTCTGTTTTTGTAAACACTCTCTTGAGCTACAGTTGAATCAAGGATGTAATACTGAATCAAGTAATAACACCTTCTACGCTCTGGTTTTAAGATATTATGTCTAGACTTAAGGAAACCAAACAGTACCCTATCTATCTACCTAGCTAAAATACGAACCAAACCTCATTTTAGCTTAATTTAGCAAAAAGGCTAGCCAAAATTTGACAAATGCTAGCCTGGCTTTGTTTCCTTAAAAAAAAAACAAAAAAAACCCCCACCTTTTGCAGTCCTTTAGTTTTTCACCACACATTTATTAATAAAGGGACAGCTCTATAGCTATGCTAAGCATATTAGCACAGGGTTTAGCTTCTCTTAGCACTAGATCAGAAGTAGCAGACTCTGAATTTTAGCTTCTTTTTTTTTTTTTAAGTCCTTGTTGCTTTTATACTTTTTAACCAATTATTGATTAATTAAGCGATAATTGTGGTATTACAGTCAATTTTTTTTTAGCTAAGCAAATAATTAGCTCACAGGTGTCAAACTCCAGGCCTTGAGGGCCGGTGTCCTGCAGGTTTTAGATGTCCTTGATCCAACACAGCTGATTTAAATGGCTAAATGACCTCCTCAACACATCTTGAAGTTCTCCAGAAGCCCGGTAATGAAAAAATCATTTGATTCAGGTGTGTTGAAACAGGGTGATATCTAAAACCTGAAGGACACCGGCTCTTGAGGCCTGGAGTTCGAGACCCCCCATTAGCTTAACTTAAATCTGTGGCAGTGAAGAAAACAATTAGTATGGTAACACCATTTATCACTATGATTTTAAATAGCTTAAAAATGAACACAATAAACATGACATGTCCATTTAATTTAGAAAAAATCTCTTAAAGCAGTTTTAAAGCAACCCGTTTTGCTATTACTGGGTAAGCTAACTGTTTTGTTTATGCTACTTTTTGGCCATACATCCCTTTATTGTTTGGCTTATTTGTGGGTGAGACATTTCTTCTAAATTGAAAAGTAAACTTTAAATTGTGTTGGTGTTCTTTCCCTGTCAAACTGTCCCAGCAACTCAATAAGGCACCCTTGGTTTTATCACTAGAGCACATTTTCCACCAAGGCCAATGCCATCTTGCAAATTTTACAGTAGCCTAAGTGCTCTGGATCCTCGCCAAAATTTAATGTCCTCTTCTTCTGGCCATTCTCCACATCTCCACTAAGGCTGGATTCATGAAATCCAGATAGATATTTTATTGTGGCAACAATGGAATTAAAACCAGTAACACAAACATGTTTTCATAAACTGACAAAATTCAAAGCAAGGTCTACTTTTTTATACGTCACCAAAAAAAAAAAAAGCCTACATCAACCCATTTTAGTAAACATTTAGTGGTATGCACTTCTGAAATATGAAGAACATGGGGCCCTGTTCCTATCTATTGTCTAATGAGGCCAAAGGGCTCATGTTGCCTTATGAGACATTATTTCTGCTTGACCTGCAGTGTATTCATTAAACAGCTTTCACAGGGGCAGGACATCCAAAACAGCTACAGTCTTGTGAGAAGAGGCTGAGCATACAGCTGGAGGTCAGGTCTGCAGCACTGATGTGTGCGCCTGATTTCAGCGGAAAAATGTTAGATGGTGAGGTTATTGCAGGAAGAACAGCGAAGGCCTTCAGGAACCAGACTGACAGGTCAGATCTACGGCCTTAGGGGAAAGTTATTTAAGGAAGGTGGAATGATGCCAGAAGCATTTCAGTGCTCGCTACGTCAACACTGGTGCAACTTTGTGGATACTACTGAATCTTATGGCTAGCTAAGGATGTAATTTTAGAGAAGAGCCACGTTATTCAACATATTACCCTGTAGTACTAGGGAGAATAATCTGACCAGATCCACTGTCATTGCTGATAAAAACCACGATCAGCGTTTGTTAGCAGTCAGGAACTTCTTTTTTTCTCAATACTTTTACATTTTAATGTAAAAGTATTTGACTGATGTGCAAAATGCAAGATTAATCCATGGGTTCACATCTATTGTGGATACAAAAAGCAGTCTGGGTGGCATTGATGTTTTAACTGTCAGCAGTTACGCCAGATTTAGCTTATTGTTTGTTGTGGTGTTAAGCATCTGCTGTTTCACAGACACAAAGCACAGAAATCAGCATTTGACTCTTAGGAGTAACTTGAGTTCTGGGTTGGACACAAACAGCAGCCCCCAAAGCTGAAAAATACAACGCCAAAAAGTGAGAATGGTTCTACAATTTCCTACCCACTGCATAGGGATTATTTATAGCTCGCCCGAGTTAGGACATTATTAGGAAAATAGACACTTTAACTGACAGGTGGATGTTAACATGTACAGCTGTAGCTGGCAGCTCCTGTTCAACTAAGTCACAAACTGGACCTCTCGACTGTGTTCGGTTTGCCCCAGTTTTGGTGTGTGAAAGTATTCTAATAATTAGTATATATATGTATATGTTGTCTTTGCAGTGCATGTGTACTGTTTAACTGTATAAAAATCTTTATTTATGTGTCTAAAGAAATAAAAGCAAGACTGCGTTTTGATATTTTTAAATATATTGCCAGTATAGGATTAGGCCCCATTTGAAAATCAAAATTGTCTTAATTTTTCATGGTATAGATTCATAAAGGGCTGGGCATGATCAGCAACAACATTATGGTATTATAAACAAAACTCAGTTGGTACTAAGGGGTCTAAAGTATGCCAACAAAGTATACCCCATACTGTTATGCCAACACAAGCGTTAACCGTTGATACAGAGCAGGATGGATCCATGCTTTTATTGTGTTTACAGAAAATTATGACCCTACAATCCAAGTTTCACAGCAGAAATCAAACCTGCCAGTGATTTTCCAATCTTTTGTTGTCCAATTTTGGTGAGCCTTTTGAATTGTAGCCTCAATTTACCATTTCCTTTTCCACAGCATTCTCTGTAAACTCTAGAGATGGCTTTGTGGGAAAGTCCCAGCAGATCAGCAGTTTCGGACAAATTTCAGACCAGCCTGGCGGGCATCAACAGCTATGCCACGTTCAAAGTCACGTAAATCACCTTTCTTCCCCATTCTGAGAGATTCAGCAGGTCATGTCTAGATGCCTGAATCCATTGAATTTCTAGCATGTGATTGGTTGATTAGATATGGCCACAGACAAATAACTCTCTATTTATATTCTTATAGTCCAACCATCATACGGCAGGACCAAGAGGACAGGTCATCAGTCCATTGGAGGGGAAAAACCCTGACAACCAATTAACCACACGCTCTTAATTTAGAATCAGCCATTAATCTTGCAGGAGGTAAGCACACTTAAACCTACTTACACTTACTTTAGGCTTGATTAAACAGTACGTTATAGTGGAAAGAAAAGGTGGTCAGTGTTTGCTCTATTTAATGAATTAGTCAGCAAATTACGGTGATAACACTGAACGTTTGCACATCAACTACTTTGCTGTGATACATTATCTACTATATGCACTGCAGATTGTTGGAGGAACCCCTGGACAAACAATGTGATGATGCCATTTGTAAAGTACCACAAACAGTTTTTTCATACTAGACAACTTACATACTGATATCAGTCATATGCCTTTTTCCATTAATATTTTTAACAATCAGCTAGCAGCACCAGCACCATCAAACCAGGACGTGAGCACAGAAACTCTGACCACACCCTCATTCATCTGGACAGGTTTGACAGCACATCTGTCAACACATCGTTTCTGTGCAGGAACCTGAACGTGGCATTTACGCACAAACAAATGTACTGCGAATTGTATGGGTTGGGATTTACAGTGGCTGCAGTGGCTGTTACTTTCCCATGATAAAATGTTATGAGGGACATCCGCTTAGATGGCGGTAAAGTTAATCTCAGGCAATAGCAGTGTGACCCCAAGTCTTTATACATCCATTTAATGAGCACAACAGCTGACCTCACTGCAGCAGGCGGAAGCCTCGTGCTTTTTTATTTATCTGCTGTAAACAGATCAGTTAGGGAAAAAAAAGAAAGAAACTTCCTGTCTAAATGTACTAAATCATAAATCAGCAGAACACACCTCTACATACAGCACATGGTGGAAAATGTCCTTTGTTTTAGCAAATATTATAGCATGATTGAGCCACAACATGACATTTAACTCACGGAGGCAAGAGAGGACATAAGCCAGTCTCTGATACTGTGTGACATGATGACCCAGAAGTCAGCAGTGACTTCAGGAGTGATCGCGCAGGCATCCTGCCGCAGGGCCAAAACACAGCTCAGAAGGCTGCGTGTCAATCACCCCCAAAGCGGTGGCGGCGATCCAGGCCGGACAGGAAGGAAGTGCGGCTCAGTGCCAAACTTCCTGACACCCACGCAGAGACACAATAGCCTCCCATCGAAGGGAGCAGACCCCTTGGGACAGAGGGTGGCGTGAACGGAGACAGCGACCCGCTGTGCTCATCTGAGCTGGAAAAAATGGGTTTTTATTCCTGTGATGGGTCGGCAAAATGACTCTCACTGGGTTCTTTCATGCTGCAGCCAGCGAGACACAGTTAACACCACCGCTGCTATTAAGTTGTCTGTCAAGCTTGTCGGGTATCAGCCCATAAAGCGTAATTAATAACACGCAAAGAAAAACAAGGAGCTCAGTAAAAGTTTTAATTAAATTTGTTTACGTGTTAGTTTCGTCTGCTTTTAATTAGACCCTCATTCTTTCAGAAAGGATTTTGAAAGCATCGGTTAATAAAGTGGTGGGTTTTACAAGTTTTAAGATCCATAACCACAAATGATATGGTATATGCTTTAAATGTTTGACTTTTTAAGTATTGTAAGTTTCAGATAGATTGCTGTCTTTGTAAAACTGCTTTAACAGCCATTTATGTGCCATATTAAACCTCACCAAGTCTGAAGAATCTATATGTTTTATAATCCATCACAGAAACATCAAGTTTATAGGTTATGATTTCCATATCAGATGAACTGCTGAGCTGAAATAACCAAACTGACCATTTATTTATTATTGATTGAGTTAAATTATTTCTCATTTTAAGATGTTTCAATCATTTGTCTGACAAAAGGTTGCTCCAGTTTTACAAAAGTCCCTGTATCCAGATTACTTTGTGATATTTGCTTTATTAAATCACAGTGATAAGAAACTCACTATGATTTCACTATTTCAGTCTGATGATGAACAGATGATGGATGAAAAAGTGGTTTTCCTTCTACATTCAGAGTGCATCACTTCTGAGCAGACAGAATACTTGAATGTGAATATTATGCATTTATCTATAAAAAATCGTATTTTCTGATGGATCAATATTGAGTTTTTCTTCACAAATACTTGGTGCCGGCCACTCAAAATTTAGTATGGGTCAACCTCTGTAAGTGAATGGTTTAAAATTTCAGAACCACAGTTGTTATTCTTAAAGGGGACAGCACAACAATTTGTAAACATAACTACAGCCTGACAAAGGCTGTTGTTGGTGCTGATCACATCAAAAAAAAAAAAAAATCATTGGTTACAGTAAACAAGCTTATTAGAAATGAGTGCAAAAGGCCTAACCTTAACCTAAACTACAACATCTCCAAGGTGACATCTGAGGACCGACACAGCTACTAATGTAGTGATGAGACCTACAGACACATGCTCAGCTATACCCTCATATATGTAAATAGACTGGCTTCCTGTGTAGAAGAGGAGGGGGAGAAAGAGGGTTTGTGAAACCTCTCTCTCTCTCTCTCTCTCTCTCTCACACACACACACACACACACAAAGAGATCAGAAAGGCATCACAATGAAAATGTGGCTCATTATTATACACAGTAGACCGCAGGCTCTGTGTCTCCTGCATCTGGGGTTTAGGGAGCAGCAGCCGCAGCCCTCAGCCCCTCACACTTGATAACATGAGCTGACCAAGCAGCCGCAGACACAAGCACCACACTCACTTTATGCAGAGATTCGGGAGGTAGCTGAGACGCCTTGAACAGCTCTGCCACTTTACTGGACGACAGTTTTCCTGAAGTGTCAGCCTGGCACAGACCGTGGAGACCTGAGTAATACCTCTGCTCATGCTCATTCAGGGAGATGAAACTCCCCGCAGACGCCGCACCGGATTCCTGATCCATTCCCGGGGCTGACGCATGGAGGATCTGCCGGAGACGCACTACAAACAAACAGATCAATACATCCTGCTCCGGACTCCGGCTTCTGTTTCAGGTCGGAAAAGAAGGAGGGTTTAGTATCACCTCCTACAGGAGAGTTCCCTGTGAAGACAGCCCGCCTGCTCACCCCCAGGCTCGTCCACTCCTACTGCCTATTGTGAGTGATTGTAGCACTACCGCTCTGCGCCTGCTGGGGGCGACAGAGCCCAGGACAAGCTGAAAGAAGACCCTACATTCCAATCCATAATTGAATAAAGCTTATTTTATTACAGGACCTTGTACACATTCTTATCCTGTATCACAATACAGATGCGGTGTAATATGATACAGCATAATGAAGCCAACAATTAATCTGTTGTGCTCTGAGGGAACATAGGGAAGCACTTTGAATATCACTCATATTTCCTGCTAAATTAGAATAGCCTTCTATAAATAGTCTGAATTTGGTTTCATCATGAGATAAACAGTTCAGACACTTTAGGCCAACATCCAAAACTAAGATTTTATACAATAAAGGAACTAGAAAGAGCAAAACAAACAGCACATTTAGCAAACAAACAATGCAACTTACTTTAATGTTACTTTTACTTATGGAGGCTAATATTAGCACCTTAAAAATACTGCTAACGTCCTGACATTAAAGTAACACTTGTATATATATAAAAAAAGACCTTTTATAACAGAAATGGGGCCATTATTAATCAGTAAACATCCAGAGAAAAATTACTGGACTCAGAAATGCCACATGATCCTGCTACAGCTTTAAGCAAACCTTCAAACCTGCATGATGCTGTGCAAAAGTCTCAAGCCACTATTTATTTATCCATTGGTAGGAAAATGGAAAACGATTCAATGAAAAATGTCCAAACATAAACTGAAATGCAGTGTATTAGTTGAATCAGAGTCTGTGAGAGTCTAACAAGCTTGAAAATCAATATTTGGTGTGAGCACTGTTACTCTTCACCACAGCTTGAACTCTCTGAGATGGCCTTATAGTCTTTAAGAATAGTTCTCCAGGCTTCTTGAAGGACATTCAAAGCTGTTCTTCGGATGTTGAATCCCACACTGCTTCAGTAATATTGAGGTCCGGCTTCTGGGGAAGCCAGTCCGTGACTGATAGTGATTCATTGTATGTTTTTCTACCCAAGTATGTTTTTACTTCATTGGCAGTGTTTTTGGGATCATTATCATGAAAAATGAAGCCACTGCTGATGAGACTCTTTCTGTATAGCGGTCAAGAATATATAGTATTCTGTCCTTCCACTGAGCCCATTTCTGCTGAGCCTTTGGTGAGCAGTAGATGGATCATCTGCAGGTCCTGTGTCAGGTTTTTGTTTGATGTTTTTATCCTGTTTCTTAACAGCATGACTTTCAGATGCTGTTTATCTGTTGTAGATGTGTTTTACAGCTATCAGCCAACAGTTTTTTAGGCTGACAGCTTTGGGAGAACACCTTGTTGGCGCAAAAATACTATTTTATGCCTGTCAAGCTGTGTTATGTTTGCATATTTTGTACACACAGCCATTAATAGACAATAGTTTTTCCTTTTTTTTTCCCCCAGGAGAGATTTAAAAAATATTTTTGAAAGTCTTTAATCTGAATATCACCAGAGTCTCAGATGAAATAAAATATTTTGGATTTTGCAGATCCAGCAGTAATCTACCCACTGAGATGATTAACCTTGATTGCCCTTTAAAGAAGCACACAAAATCTAAAAGCCTTGAAAAATGCTTTTCACACTATGAGTTTTACTTTCGGATGCATTTCATGCAGTGTATTGAGGTTCAAGTTTTTGTTTTAGTTTCACAATGATTGGGTTAAAAAGTGGAATGGCTGTCATGTCTGGGCCTCTGCTGCCACCGTGTGTAGAGAGAAAATACCTGCACCCTGAAAAGTAATTAAGTGCTTAGCAGGAAGTGAACTGTGATCAAGCTAAAGTTAATTCAAAATTTAGATAATACACACCAAAAAGGTGAAAACAAAAAGGCATTTAGTGCATTTAACCCCCCCACCCCCCAAAAAACTTAAAGTTATTTGAGCTTTGTGATGTTTTTTTGACATGTCTAAACAATGTTCCAATAAAAGGTCTGAAGACTGCCAAGAAAATGTCCCTCTCATCATTACACCATCACCACCAGCCTGAACCACGGATACAAGGAAGGACACATCCAGCCTTTCATGCTGTTGACACCAATTTCTGAGAAATTGAGACTCATTGGATAGATATTATCGATTTTTCTGCAAACCCCAGAGATGGCAATGTGGGAAACTCGGACCAGCCCATCAGGTGCCAAACTCACTTAAACTGCCTGTCTTCCCCATTCTGCTGCTCGGTTTGAGGTTTAGCTGGTCATCTTGACCATGTTTAAATGCCTAAATGCACTGAGTTGCTCCCATTTGATTGGCTGATTTGTCGAGGACGGAGGAAGGAAGAGGAAAGACCAGTTATTCTTACTGCAACCCAGTGGCTCAACCCTCAGTGATGCGTCATCGTGGTCTGTTTTATTGGAAAACACTTATGACATTTTATGGGTACAAAAGATCGTTTATTGTAGGAGAGTGTCATGTGGTCTGCTGTGGTGTTTTAAATCACTGAAACAGTCTGTTATCGGGGGAATGAGACTTTACATTCAAACCTGACCCATGTGAACTTAATTTCGAATAAATGGCGGTTTCAAACGTACTTTTCTGAGACAGTGGTTAAAAAATTAACCTAACAGCTGATGAGGAAGAATTGATCATTAACCTTATATAAGTGAGCGCTTAGATATTGATTGACTGAATAACTGAAAGTGTTTGCAAAGGCTTTTTCAGTAAAGAGGATGAGAAAGAGCTCACTGCGATCTGTTGTGGGAGATTTTATTTCTGCATCACATAGCAAAGCTAGGTTAGACCTGATAACCATGTAGGGAGGAACAGGGAGTGTGGAGAGTACAGTTTGTCCTGCTTGACTCTGACCGAGCAGGACTGGGTCAGAAAGGACAGAGAGTGCTGGGCTGATTTCACCTGTATCCCAAATCAGACTTTTGGGCTTAACCCTCAAGCAACCAAAATATTTTAGTGACTAAAATAATCAAGTGACTTTGCTTTGTTTCATACAGAAGTACTGTTTTGTGTATCATACTTGTACTCTTCCCTTTATCTGTGATATTTATTCTGATAACATGATTTTCAAGGGGTTTGAATCCACCGTCCGGTGTGTGTGTTGTCTCCATATGTCCAAAACATGCAGCTACAGTATGGGATTAGCTTCACCGCTAATTCTGAATTGACCGTAAGTGTGAATGTGAGTGCAAATGGTTTTCTGCACTCCGCCTCTCACCCTGTGGCAAGTTAACTAGTAAACCCAACTCATCTCCTTCAGCTGACCTGTTTGCATCCTCATTTTGTGCATCAAGTATCCTCAAGGCTTCTCCTGCAGTCAATCTTGCTACCTCATTTCATGATCTAGTGTAAACATATGGCTGGGTCGCCGGCGGGTTAAATGAACTGCACCTGAAATGGACCTGTTCTGCTTATCCTTATTTTCTGTCATTTGTATAGCCTCTTAGTCTGAAATAATGAGATTGTTGTTTTTCATATCCTTGATTTGTCTTAGGTGATAAAGACCCTTCTTGTTTAAATCCTGTCATTGCACGGGGTAGCCAATCAGAAGAACGGTGACTTAAAATCCAAGTGTTTACTCTTGTACTGTCAGTATTTACAAGTTCCAGAAGGGCTGGCACATATGAGAAATCTGACTCTGGAGTACTGCCCTCTCTCTCTCTTTTCGACTTTTATTTCTATGGCACATGCACTCTGATACCAGCAGTGATCATGTTTACCACCACTTACCAACAGCAGCACTGCTTTAGAACAGAACAAACCATCCAGCCTTTGCAAAGATCACGGCTCCTCGAGATAGTTTAATACCTGTGGCTGGGTGAGGGGATTTTGTAAATGCTGTGCAAGGATTTATAAGTGGGGCTCAGGGTTCCAGGCTTAGACAACAACAACAACAACAACAACAACAACAACAACTGTACTACAACTACACCCTGTGGGTCGCACTATTTGCTCTTCTTCTAAATTCCTCTGTTAGTTTCACCTTTAATGTTTTAATGTTGTTTTCTTTCAAAATGAAAGGTAACAGTTTACATATCATATCATATCATATCATATCATATCATATCATATCATATCAT